AAATATTATATATATTATCATTATATGTCAAATTTATTATATGATCTAGATCATGTGGGGCCTTTGCAATAGAAAGGGAGGAAACTCCAAAAAAATTAAAATTTTAGTTTATAAGCCAAAAATGTTTCAAATACTATAATTTGTTCAGATTTATTATTAACTCATTTTTTATTTTTTTTTGAGTTTCCTCCCTTTCTATTGCAAAGGCCCCATGTGATCATATTTATTATTTTATTATTAGTCAACCTTTTTGTCGATCGTATTTATTATAGAAATGCTAATCAATATTTTAAACTAATTAGAAGAAAGTCTTCCTATGAATACCAGAATTACTATGTCTTTTAAGAAATATTATTATTATTATCATATTTAATAAGTAATTTACTTTATATTATTTATACTTTATTTTATTAAATAATAACTATTTCTTTATTATTTAGTTATTAAATAGGTTAAGGTTAGACAAAATATATAAAATTTAAAGATAAATATTTTGCAAGTAATTTGATATATTATTTTAAGTTAAAATAAAATTAAATTTGTAATTACTAAAATTATATCAGGATTCTTCTTAACAATAAACTTTTAAATAATAATAAAACTGATAATAGAATTCTTAATGAAATAATTCAAGCTTCAATCTTTTTAATACAATATAAATATATAAATTTTTAATATTTCTGAAGAAGATATTATATATAAAATTCTTAAGAATGATCAAATTTTTGAAGAGTTTAATAAAATTACTGATAATTTAAATAAATAGATGTTAGTAACAAAATAGTGATTATAAATACTAATGTAATGTTAAAATTTTAGAAACTGGGAATATGTTTTTATTACAACAAAAAAATGCAGATAAATATATTAAATTAGTAGGTAAAGTTGAAAGTTTTATTAGAAAGAAATATGTATATATATTAACAGATTACAATTATTAATATTTTAATTAATAATTATTTTATTAATTATAATAAATGTTAATAAGAAAATTAAATAATAAGTCATTTTTTATTTATTAATATATAATAAAATATATTTCTTTTATAATTTTGTAATATTAAATCTTTTAAAAAAATTTTTTTATAATTATATTTTTATAAATACACACTTATGTTTAGTTCCAAAAGGTATATATTTATAGAGAATTGACTGTATTAAATTATAATGATAATTATTTAATAACTTATCTTTTTTATTATTAATTTAATAAAGTCATGTTATATGAAAAGTTTGCTAGGAAAATCAAGATTTAGAGAATTTTTTTTAAACTAAACTTAAAATCTTATTACATTTAATCAGATTTTTTAGCAATCTTCCAATATTTGTTAAAAGTATTTAATAAAATAATCTAATAATAATATTTCATTAAAATTTAATTATTATGCTAAAAGTTATTTAATTAACAATATTATGAAAAAATTGTATTAGAATTATATTTTTAATATCATAGCTTTATTTTAAATTATTTAAAATAATAGATAAAGTCACATTTTTTTATTATACAGAATATATACAAAAAAAAAGAATCGGCTAATTATATCATATGATATAAAAATTTTATCTGATCCCTTAGAATCTTCTAGTACGTTCTTTCAAGATGAGATAATGAACGAAATCTCTCTCTATATATATATAAGAACGAGACTTTTATTTTTTAGTAAAATAACGGGCAAATATGAGTGTAAGTGTGGTTCTTTTTTTTTTTTTAAAAAAAAAAGTTTTGCCTGCAATTCGTTAAATACATTGAAGTTAAAGACAATTTACTTAATATAACTTTTTAAATTACTTTTTAGGCTGAAGAGTTCAAAAGCCAAGGGAATAAATCATTTGCCGCTAAGGATTATGACAAGGCAATAGAATTATTTACTAAAGCCATAGATTTAGACCCCTCAAATCACGTACTCTACTCGAATAGGTCAGCCTCGTATGCATCATTAAAGAAGTATGATAAAGCTTTAGAAGACGCAAATAAAACTGTTGAATTGAAAAAGGATTGGGCAAAGGTAATATATTTTCTTTAGCGGAAACGCGCCATTTTTTATTTAATACTAATAACAATTTAAAAGTGTTGATTTTACTTTTTTTGAATAGGGATACAGTAGAAAGGGTGCAGCACTACATGGTCTTGGGAAATTAGAGGAGGCCCGTGAGACATATCAAGAAGGTCTTAGATATGAACCAAATAATGCTCAACTCAAAAAAGCACTTGAAGAGGTCGAGTCAAGTAAGTGAAGAAGAATTTCATGCGATTGTAAAAATACAGTTATAGACTTAAATTCATGGAATTATTTACGCGATTTTATTAGGCCCACCTAGTAAAATATTTCCCGATGATGTATTGGTGAAAATCGCGTTAAACCCACAATTGAGATCATACCTTGATCAACCTGATTTCGTTGAGAAGATTAAGTCGATACAAAATGATTCCAAACAACTTAACACGTAAGTATTAAAATATAGATATAATATTGATCAATAGTATTATATTAAATGAAAATAAAGATGACGAATTATGACTAGTCATTTACAGGATCCCCGTATAAGGGATGTATTTATGTACATACTGACTGGTGCAACGAATCCTTCAAGTGGCTCACGAGATTCACCAGAACCTGAAGAAGTACGTATGATAGCAAAAATTTTGCTTTAATATACATATTTTTTAAATCAACTTTATTTTAAATTTATTAGCCTAAGCCGAGAGAAGAGAAAAAACCAGATCCTGAACCACAAACACGTGACATCCCAGACGAAAAATCTGAAGAAGAGCTTAAGAAAGAAGCAGCTAATAAAGAAAAAGATCTTGGAAATGCGGCATATAAGAAACGAGAATTCGAAGAAGCACTAAGATATTATGATAAAGCTTGGGAATTAGATAATACTAATGCATTAATTTTAACCAATAAAGCTGGTTAGTACTTTTAATCTTTAATTCATTAAATATTTTTATCAAAGTTAAATATCAACTTTTTTTGGTTTCTTTTATTAGCTGTATTGTTCGAGCAAGAAAAATATGAAGAGTGTATTAAAGTTTGCGAAGAAGCTATCGACGTTGGTCGCGAACATCGCGCAGATTTCAAATTAATTGCCCGGTAAGGACGCATCCTATTCGAAGGACCTAATATAATAGTATTTTGAAATTCTTTAATATAAATAACTTTCATTTTACAGTGCATATGGAAGAATTGGAAATGCATATCATAAATTAGGAAGATTGGATGATGCAATTAAATACTATCAAAAATCATTAACAGAACATCGTACATCGGACACATTGAAAAAATTAAATGATACAGAAAAATTAAAAATTAAGAAAGAGAAAGAAGCTTATCATAATCCTGAATTATCCGATAAAGCTCGTGAAGAAGGAAATGAATTATTTAAAAAAAATGAATTTGTTAAAGCTGTTACAAGCTATACTGAAGCTATTAAACGTAATGAAAAAGATCCAAGAGCTTATAGTAATCGTGCCGCTTGTTATACCAAATTAATGGCTTATCCTGAAGCATTGAAAGATTGTGAAACTTGTATTAGTCTTGATCCTTCTTTTGGTATGTCAACGATTTTTATACAGTTGTATTTTACAGTAATCATATTCATTGTTATTTCATTTTTTACCTTATACAGTTAAAGCATATATTCGTAAAGCTGCTGTTGAATTTTTAAAAAAGGAATATACAAAATGTTTAGAAACTTGTGAAGCAGCTTTGAAACATGATGTGGATGGTCAACATGCTCTAGAAATTAATAAACAAATGACAAAATGTCGTGAAGCCATATGGCAAGGTAATTCTAGTGGTTCTCAAGAAAGTACTGAAGAAGCTTTAAGAAAGGCTGCAAGTGACCCTGAAATCATGGTATGTATTTGTTTTATTTAATATATATATTGCAAATAATTTTGATTCTGATTCTTTAAAAATTTTTTTCTTTTTTCAGAGAATCCTTCAAGATCCCGTTATGCAACAAATTCTTAAACAAAGTCAAGATGATCCTCGTGCTCTTAAAGAGTATGTATGAGAAATGTGATCTAGACCTTTTTAAGTTCTAATGCCGTTTTTATTAATAATAATTATTCTTTTTTATAGACATTTGAAGAATCCTATCGTGGCAGCAAACATTCAAAAGTTAATCAATGCAGGAGTTTTGAGGACTAATTAGATTGTTCGCATTTTAATTTTGAAATAAAAATTTATTAGTTTGGAAATTAGATCATTTTTTTGTTATGTTTTATAGCTGTTTATAAAAAAAACCATCTTTTTATATTTATGTATTTGCATTTAATAAAAAATCATATGCATTATATAAAATTAATGTAATTTATTTGCACATAAAATTTTTTGCGTTAAATAAAATTTTTATTGATTAAAAAATATTATTTTTAATCTTTTTGCTTTTTAATAAATCAATCATAAATTCACAATAATTTGGAAGTATAAGGTGAGAGCAGTTAAACTCAACCTAAATTTTTTTTTTTTTTTTTTGTTATAATTTTTTTAAAAAAAATTAATACACTTCAAAAAGCAACATGAATTCATCATATATATATAATAAGTACAAAGTTGTTACAAACGTGTCAAAAAAAAAAAAAAATAAAATAAAATAAAAAAAAAAGTAAAAAAAAAAAAAAAACAAAACAAAATTAACAAATTACAAGTCAAATAAATCCCACCTTTAAATTGCAAATTACTTTTTTTTTTTTTTTTAAAAAAAAAAAAAAAAAAAAAAAAAAAAAAAAAAAAACCAATATCCATCTTTGAAATAAAAAAAATATTTTTCTGACGTTTACAACATCATAATAATATTAATAATTCTATCAAATACTTCTATCTTTTCAACAAATTTCTCTCAATTCCTTTCCCAAAATTTTTTTTTTTTTAATAAAAATAAAAATAAGGAAACAAAACAATCTCATATAAATATTCTTAATGACGAAGTAGTAGTTTTTGATTAAAATCTGTATCAAATTGACCGACCTTTTTTATAATTAATATATTTTTTCAGTCCCTTACTTATTTGCATCTATTTTAAGCCATTTGATATGGCAAAGCATTTATTTCTCTTCGATTATTATACTTTTGATCATTATTAAGATGATGCACATCATTTGTCATCGGTTTATTATTGGGAACAATTGGGTTCATTTGATTTGGTGACGTTCGCTGTGATGATGGTGGAGGTCTTGCCTGTGATAATGTATTCTGATGATGATGATGATGATGACCAACATTATGATTTATTTGCTGAAAATACGAAGGTAATTCATAAGTAGGCGAAGAGGGGATACCGTATCCTGAAGACGGATTATTTGGTGGATATGATGGCGAAGTAGATGGGGATATTCGATGATTCCGATTTGATTGTTGTGAATGTAGATTGTGTTGATCATAATTTGCTGGAAGGGCCAAATTATGATGATAATTTCCCGATGATGCTATTGAAGATGAACTTTGTTGCTGCTTCGGTTGTGGATGAGTCGCAGGTAACGGCAACTGATGATGCTGAGAATGCGTCATATATGGTGAAGTGCTAGGTGTGGTATAATGGCTTGGTGAATTACGAAATGATGATGGAGATTGGTTATTATATGAAGGAGATGAACGGAAATTAGAAGGACGAGGATGTGCTTGAGTCATAATAGGTGAAACTACATTTACAGAAACTGGTAATGGTGACGGATGACGCAACCCGGACTGCTGATAATGATGATGCTGCGGCAATACTGGTCTCGATGATGATGATGATGATAATGATGATGATGATGATGATTGCCATGACTTATTATTGCTAGAACCATTATTTGGAGTATTGTTTTTTGACTGCTCAATTTGCATTTGTTGGAGTTGTTGTAGAGATTTTTGATGATATTGCTGTGTTAAATGTAACGGAGGTCCAGATGTTCCGAGAATACTATCATCCAAGCCACCACTTGAAATTCCAAATCCTGCAGCTCCATTTGGCATACTACCAGGCATTATCATAGACTTGAGCGTCTCATTCTCGGTATTATTATCTGTGATCTTATCCTCATTTGAGCTAACGGTTGGTGACTTATTTCGTTCATCTTTTAGTAATCGCTCATCTTGATGATTACGTCCCTCTTTGTCTTGCCAAACATCATCTCTGTTTCGAATGTCAACCTTATTCCCACCAGATAGTGTATTATTATTAGGACTATTCGTCTGATCAGACGCACGATTATTCTCGTTACTATCAACTATCACAGAAAATTGTGGTAATTCGTGTTGTTGATCACGTTCTTGCAACAATTGTAAATGAGGATAATTTTGTGGCAGTCGTCTTGGATCTTTTTTAGAATGTTCTACTGGTGATGCTCCGATACTACCTGGGGTAACAAGCGCTGCAGCTCGTTGTATCTGTGGTGGAATTTGAATATTTCCAATTGTACTAGCTCTTGGCCTTAATGAACTTATACTAGATTTTGGCGCTAATGAAGACATCTTATTTGATATTTGCTGCTGCTGTTGTGGCTTTTGCCTTGAAGGTGGTACATGACTGTTAGAAGCAGGAACATGCGAAAGCTTTAACGTAGGCATATCATGAGCGATAATAAGAGGATTCTTGGGCTGCACTTTTGGAGAATTATTTGATGCTTTGTATTTAATGGGTGAAGGGATTTGCATCAAATTTGGTGTCGGATTCGATGAATTTGAGGATATGGGCTGCGTTGACGTTCCCATCTTATTAGTTGCTTTAATCTGCATAGGTGGTGTAAATTTACCAGTAAATTTTTCGCCCGTTATAAATGGGTGTAATTTCGCTTGCTGAGGAGACCAGCGCTCTATAGGATTAAGATTCAATAATCCTTGTACAAAATCGATAAAAGCCAACCGATTTTGCATCTCTAATTAAATAATATTTAAATAAAATTTTTAAGATAAAAAAATTTGATTAATTGTGAAAAGAAGTAGTTGATTTACCTTTATCGATGTCCTTTTGTGTTAAACCTTTTCTCATGATCGGATAAGATTGAACGATCTCTGGCAGCGTCCCTGCTGAGAAATATCTCTTGGAAGGTTGTTCCACAGTATTATGTTCTCGCATGTATTGTTCCATCGATTTCAATCGATATTTCTTTTGGCCATGCTCGTTCATATAACGATCAAAGTATTCGTGGGCGGTTTTCCCAACTTCAATCATATAGGCTGGTGGAATACCCATCATCTCAACGATCCGAGACACTTGATTATATTCAGAACTACCTGGAAATAATGGCAATCCTAAGAATAGCTCAACAGCGATACAACCTAATGACCACATGTCAATCGAGGATGAATACCTGTGAAAGGGAAATATGCATAAATATTTTTTGATTCTATGTAATATATTTTTAATACCAAATTTGCTTACGGTAATCCTAATAGTACTTCAGGACTTCGATAAAATCGCGATTGAATATATGTATAGACTGTCTGACGTTCATGGCATGCGGAACCGAAATCGATCACCTTAATCGTAGGTGACTCCAAACTATATTAGAACATTGATCAGTAATGGAAATATTTACATAACTTAATACCTTTTTAAATTCAATAATATACTATATAATATAACGCACGAAGATTTCACACACTTTTTCAACAGCACATTTTCTGGTTTCAAATCACAGTGAATTATACGTGCTTCATTCAACACTGTCAAAGCGTCCAGTAATTGGGCAGTAAAAACTCTGACAAGGTTTGTACTAAGTCCTCGAAATTGATTTTGCTTAATTAGTTCATAAAGATTAACAGACAAAAGTTCAAACACAAGACAGAGATGTCGACGGTGAATAAACGTATCCAAAAGTCGTAGAATATGATGTTGATCTTGATTATCCCATGTTTGGTTTAGCTAATAAATTCAAGGAAAGTTAAAAATTAACGAAATAATTGAAGAGTGAATTTTTTTTTAGGTGACTTAAAGATAAAACACCCATGCATCATAAAAAATTTCTTTATACTCTACCAGCTCTAATATAGTCACTTCCATCATACTCTGATTAAAATAAGCGGGCTTATTTTTCACAACTTTAACTGCCACAATGTCCTTTGTCTTCAAATTCTGACATTTTACAACTTGCCCGAATGTTCCTTGACCTAAGACATCCAATATGAGATACCTAAGATAATTTATATGAAAATAAATGTTGAGGAAAAGGAAGAGGAAGAAGGAAAAAAAAAAGAAGAGAGAACAAAAAAAACCTCTTACTTTTGCCCTTCTTCACTACCTAGTATATCGTTCACGTATAGAATATAATCACAGTCTTCGTTATCAAAACCATCATTTTTTACACCTTTTGATGGTTTTGTTAAAACACGACGTGGATTGTAAGTTAGATCGTACCGAAAATGAGGATTGATATTCTGGTACGTTGATGTCAGGTAAATAGTCAACGCTTTTAATGTCTGTGTTCGTGAATAAATAGTTTACGGACGCAATTTTTACGTTATCCCATGACACGACAAAAAAAACGAGGATGACAGCTAAAAAGCCTGCGAAATATCAAGTATATCGCAGGGGTTAATAAAATCGCACATACACTGACAACGACTTTCGAAGATTCTACTCTACGTGCTGGTTGAGGTCGCAAATCCGATATTGATCGGACTTTCCGAAATGCGGTAGTTCGATATTCACCGCCAAAATCCGTTCGAGATTGATTTAATTGTTGAGATGGCTTATTTTGTGAGGTAGTTACTGCAATCGGTGACGAAGGTTGAGAATTAGGAGAATATGTTGACTTATAACCAATCTGTATGGGTGGGGCAAGTTGTGGAGGAGGTGGTGGTTGTTGACCACTAGATTGCTGTAGCTGTGAATGGGAAGGGCGACGATGTTGACGAGAATTAGTATGAGAAGGTTGGTGTGTCTTATTATGTGAATGAGGTGAATATGATTGACTTTGTTGAGGAGATTGTTGTAATTGATGTCCAGACAAAGACCGTTGATGAGGCTGAACATTTGGATGTTGAGAAGTGGGGGTTTGTAATAAAGTATAATGTCCGGATGGGGAATTTGGAACGTAATTATCTAATCGTCGTCTACTGTGGCCTTCTGGTGGTTCTTGTTGAATAGGATTTGGAATTGGAGGATATGAATTTTGACGTTGTGAATTCAATGGAATTTGTTTCTGTTGTGAAGGATGCGAAGGTGATGAAGCATTATTCATTATAGGTAATAGTGGTAATTGCTTTTGTGAAAAATCATCGCTTATTGTTATTCCAACGAAATCTGTTCTTTCAGAATTGTTATATCTGTGTTGAGGAGTTTGATTATATGATATATTATGATCAGAACGCCTTCGACTATGCGAGGCGCCATCCATTTTTTTCAAATGTTGTTACCTATGAAAGAATAAATTCGATTAATTAATTAATTATATTATATTGATAAAAGCGATAAAATAATATGTATTTAACATAAATAGGGAAGAATGAGATATCAGAAAAAATTGAAATAACTAACGGAATACTTTATGAAGGGTTTAAGTATGAATTTGACAAGCTCGCGAAGTTTGTTCGATCAACAATTCCTATTAAATACAAAATGGGTTAAAAATTAAATCAAATAACTTTTTATTATGATTGAATAAAAACTGACATTGAGCGCGTTCTCAATAACTTGATGTAAGTTTTGCTTAAAAAGACTAAACAAATGTATATACAAAACGAATGATATAATTAAATAAACTAAGAAAAACGCGGAAATAAAATGTGGGCTCAAAATGTAAAAACGAAATGTTTTTTTAGGCATTATAGATCTTTAGTTTAAAAAATAAACTTACCGAGACGAAGTAAAAAAGTCGAGGTATAAAGGTATTGAAAAGGGAGTTAACTTTTTTTTTGAACAGAGTTAAGAAACGAAAGACTGCAACTTTCCAATTGTCTTTCAAAAAGGTTCAATTGGTAGTATGCAAAATCGATATGCTTTAATTCTAAAAACGAATCTAGGACAAGTAAATACTATAAAAATATTCAAACAACAAACAAATTTGTGCTTTCGAACACTTGAAATTTTTTAATTATTTTAATTTTTAATTTGTTTTCAACCAGTTTGTATCGCTTGGACCCACTGAAATAAATCACATGATAATAGAATTCTATTTTTAGGTCAAAAATTCCATGTATGTATAAATAAAATATTTTTTTAAAGTATAAATCACATGATATTCGAGGAGAGCTCTAATTTTAAGGACACTCTTTTTAGAAACTCCATTTTCAAAATCGCGCGAAAACAATGTTTTATAATTAAAAATCAAATATTTAATTCGGTACTATAAACTTATTTTTATAAATCAAATCATTTTTTCAAAATAATAGATAATTTAGGATATATTTTAACATGTTTGCCGAAAGTTTATACAAAATTTTTCGTTATTAGTTTATCCTTTTTTAGGAATGATCTACGATTAGCATGAATGTGTTTATTTTATTATTGACCCCAAAATTTTTTCTTTTAACGGCTCAATGAAATGATGTAAAATAAATAATTTATATTAGTTTAATTAAAAAAAAGGGGGGATATCAACTCTAATTAAAATAATTTAAAGGTAGATAGATATAATAGATAATTAAAATAATCTAAAGGTAGATAGATATAATAGATAACTATTTTAAATTCACATTAATTATTAATTATTATTAATTATTTTCTTGGGTTTGTGCTAATCGTGCTTCTAAACTTCTAAGAGCCTCTTCTTTAGCCAGCAATTCTTGTCTTTTTTCGGTGATTTCACGTTGAACCTTCAATTCAATTTCTCTCAACTAATATGGGAAATAGAAAATTAATAACGCGATTTATAGATATAATGAATTAATGCACGCGAACTTACCTTCTCTTCTTCGCGTTTTAATTGTTCTTCTTTCAATCTTACACTTTGAGAAGTAAGTTCTTCCGGCAAAATATTATTCGAGGTTTCCCTAACATTTTAAAATATATCAGATGGTTATCTTTCATGTATATGCATAACTAGAGTAGTATAATCTGATATAATAAAAATAATAATGCTTACTCGACAGGGGTGTCAGCACTACTTCGACTAAGTTTATCTGTACGATAATTTTCATACAAGAAATCATGAGTAATTTCTTTCAGATCTTGTAAATGAGAGCTAAGATCATTAAACAAATTAGAATTTTCAAATCTTCAAAGAAAGTAAGAAGGCAATTCTGACTAATATTAACCTTAACAAAGCTGATCGTAATCTAGCAAAGTCCGAGTGTTGTGGATTATCAACTATAAAAAAAAATTTTAAGTTTCATCATGTGAACAGATGATGTAATCATATTCGAGTTATATATCATACCTTCAACAACACCCCATGGGTATTGGCGCCCGCGAACGGATCTTCCATTTACTTGAATTTCTTCTTCACTGCCAATAATGGCAAAGGGTAAAAGGGCCTACATATGCAAATAAATCAATATAATATTTAATATAATATATAAAAAGGTTTTACTTTATTCCGATAACTAGCTCTCGCATACCCTAAGTTCTCCATTTTCTTCAACAGTTTCCTCATCATCTTCCTCTACATCGAATGGGAAGTTGTAAATTGGAATATTATAGTGATTGATATCTTCCATGATCTATTTAAGATGTAAATTATTCATAAGAACGGTCTCCCATATAGGCATTACATTTTTTATTTTTATTTTTTCATAACGTACCCTCTTTTTGAATTCAGCTAATTCTGTTGGTGTACAAGTATCAGCTTTACCAATAACAGGAATCACATTGACACGTGGACTCAGTCGTTTCATTAATTCAATATCGATCTCCCGGAGACTGCAGAAAATTGGTCATTATAGGTTTATCAAAAACAAATTTGCATAAAGATTTGCATAAAGTAATGCGGATACATACGAATGACCTGTTGGAGTAATGAAGTAAAGAAGAGCGTGTACGCGATTATCTCTAAAGCGTGGATTACGTTTGATCCGCGATTCTTCAGCAAGGATGTCATCATACTGTCTTTCTAAATATCCCATAATTTCTTGAAAACTAGACAAATTTTTTAAATCGATCTAGGTGATTAGTTGTACTAAAATTACGAAGAGTTATTAATAAAAGAATTTACCAAAATTCGTTGTCAATATTGTCACCAAACCCAGGAGTGTCTACAATCGTTAAAGCGATTCTTACACCATCCTCGTCCAATTCTATAAATATATTTGAACTTTTGGGTTAAATTGATAGGTTCTATTATAAAATATATATATATATATATACTATTCTTGGATGATTACTAACCAACTGTGACGGGTTTTATACGAATACCTTCTTCCACATGTGCAGTTTCGGGAGAATCGCAGAGTTTTTTGGTTAAAACTTCACTACCACATAGTGTGTTTACAAAGGTAGAGCGACCGATACCAGACGCGCCTGCAAAGGATCAAACAAGATTTATGGGATAAAAGGTTTAATTTCCTAAATGAAAAAGTTTTAAAAAGATACCCGGTTATAAAAATAGAAACTTACCAACTACCATAAGAGTAAATTGGAAACCTTTTTTAACGTTCTTTCTACGTCCACCTAACCTCTGTTGAATCATCATAAAATAAAAAAGGGAGTAAGAGCTAAAACGACCTGGTCCCACAACGGTTATAAAAATAAAAGACAGTATTAGTTAGTATACTTACGTGAGCCATGTTATAAAGGTCGTACTTATTTGATGAGAATATTTTGGTAGATTTTAAAAAGCGTTAAAGCTTTAAAATAAAGTAAAGAGAAGAAAAAGATTAATATGATAGAGATTTATTTCAAAGGAGTGTAAAAAAGATAGTTCGTTCCTAAGTAAATAAAAACGAAATATGTGAGAAAACGCGTCTCAAAAGTAATAATAGCTCTGCAATCCGCAGTTGAAGCAATTTAAATTATTGCGCAGATGTTTGCACATCTTAGCATAAACTCGAACCTATTAAAAACCATTAATTCGAAACACTCCCTAATTTTAAAATTTGTGTATGTAAATGCTGTAAATGTTCTATAGCAACAAAACAATGTCAAAAGTTTCCATTATTGGTCAATAAGTGCTCCAATAAGGTATCGAATTTATTTTGTTTTTGAAGGAAATTTTATCTATTACGATATTATTTTAACTAATTCTAATTAAATGATAAATAAATATATGTATATAATGTATAATGTATAATATAATATACAGACTACTAAATAAAATAAATGAAAGATATATCCCCAATTTCTTACAAACCATAATAATTTTTATTTAATTAAACCTGAACCCCAACCTGTCAAAACTCTTTGACATTCTTGTTTTACATGATCAGCAATTGGTGACTTCCATATTTTCATGGCTACAAACATTCTAGCATATTTAAGACAAACCTCTCGGGAAAAGTTTGCGTACATACGACTATTAATTACTTTCTGTTTTAATTAAGAAAAAAAAATAAATGAATTGAAATTAAATTCGAAAAAAAATATGCATAACCGTATTGACAAACCTGCCAGTGCGGATCTTCATAGTTAACGAGATGTGAATCTTGATTAAAATGATGTTGTATTAAGAAATTATCAGGATCAACATATAATTCAGCGCCACTTAAATATATTTCAAAAATACAAGCCGCTTTATTATCATCAAAGCGTTCTGAACACCTATAAAGAAATTACGTGTTATAATCAATCATCTCAAAGAAACTGAATTGATAATCCAAATAAACTTACCAAGGGGTTTGTCCGCCTTTGCTTACGACAAAGTTTGGCCTATAATGTAATTCATATTCTTCTACATGAAATAATTCATTAGCTTTTAACCAACTGTCTAAACAAGTAGGTCCACTATTAATCTCCCAACCATAATCTTGTAAGCCTAATTTATGTTGATTTACTAAATTAACGACATCATCTTTTTTTTGAGGAAGTTGATACTTTGTGGTATTTCCAACAAAAATAAAAGTAGGTAAAATTAAAACATTATTTTTAGTTAATAAATCAGTATAACGTTTAATATTTGAATGAGTTTCAGTAGTTGGCCAGGTATCAAAATCAAGGAAAAAAACGAATTCAGTTCTAGCAAAAAATCGAGCCAAGTTCATATGAAAATTAGTCGGAGTTGGTAATAATGTTTCATTAAGTGAACTTGATGGACCTGTTATCAGATGAATGTCAATTTGATTTTTTAAACTTGGTTTGCTTTTATAAATTTTCTTGAGTGAATTAATTGTTTCAACTATGAGAGGGTCAGTTAATCCTATTTTAGAAGGAATATGTAAAGTCGCTGATATAGGTCCTAAAAAATTAAAAGAGATAGATAAATTAATAAAAGAAACCAAAGTAAAAAGTAAGATGCAAACGATATCA